ACGTCGATTGAATTTAACGAATATAAATCACATTCGATTTTCTCTTTTTTTAACGGTTTTTTCCCCTCTGAACAATCTATCAAATCGATTTTGGCTTCCGTCTTGAAATTCTCACGCAGACCACATTAGGTGTAAATAACATGAAGCAACTATGACCAAGCTCTCTTGTTCTCTACCTCGGTGGATTATAATAATAATCCGTGCATAAATTTTCTTATTCCGCATTGTGGTTCTCTCAATCGCTCACTCGAAAAGGCCCGAAAAGTTCGTATTATAAAAAAACATATATGTTGCTGTTTTCAATCCATTTTCAAGGTTAAATCACGGTGTGGAGTGTTCTGAGAGAGAGAGAGAGTGTGTGCGCGCACGAGAACGGTAAACAAAAGACTGAAACAATAATCAATTGATTGCCCTAGGCCTCGATTAAGTGTTCGAACGTTGTGGATTTGGGTACGTTTCAATGATCCGTCTCTATCGGTTCGGCGATGATCTAATATCGCAAAATGATTGCCAGCACCAAAGTCAAATGCAATAATCAAAAGCGACGTGAACGCGAGTTGATGTGGGATAGGTGCACGTATGCATCCCAATTATGATTCAGCCACACATTTCGATTCACGGAAACCAAAATGCCGTTGTTATTTTTTTTTTCTTGCTAGCCGAAGGAAAAATGACGATGGCTGAATAATTAGTGCACACGAGTAAAGCTTCGCTTTGTTTCGTTTTGCTAATCTCACAAGATTTATGGTCGTCTTGCATTGGATGAGTTCATACATGAGCTAATAAACATTCTCGGTGAGTTTGTCATGCAAACAACAACGATGGTGACGACGATGACATCGATGATGATGTGATTATTACAAATTATTGCCGTCAATTTAGTGCAGCCCATTATTTTAGTAATCATTTTGTATTCAGTATTTTGTTTGCTGTCGTCAGCAGCAGCAGCAGCAGGAGTAGTGTCACGGCTTCTCCTCAAATTTGATGGCACTTGAGTGCCAGTTTGAGCTTGAAATTGAAAGAATTCCTTTGTTTATTCGGAGTCAGCGTCATTCGTTTAACGATTGCAATTAAGCAATCCATAAACAAAGATGGCCAGAAATGAATGTTTGGTTAAACAGTCAGCTCTTTTTGATGACTGACACACACACACACACAATCCACTTGATGATCCCGGAAAATAGCAAGAATTTTTATTACTCATTTCAAATGCGAAGTAGTCAATTCATTAGTATTATCTAAATTGTATGTACGCAAATCGATTAAGTCAAGTGACTTTTACACATAGTATAGTTCCTATAAATCAAGCAAACATTCCAATTTAGCCCGTGTGTGCATTGTGAGATTTTCGCTTCCTCTAAACACACCGTGCACCACTTCAAATTGGCTATATTGGAAAAAGGTGCACATGGGCCACATTTTTTTTGCACCATACATTATTGCTGCATTTTGTGCATTCCAAAACGATCATCCATATCAAATTCAAATAATTAACTTCAATTAGTGTGCAGCAATGTGCATTGTGCACACGCGGTTGACTGATCGAAATGTGCGCTAGATGATTCACACAACAAACAACCGAAGAACTGTCACACACAAATGATAAACAGCTGCTGCTTGCCTCTACTCGAAACGACAACGATCAAACAATACATCGATTCGTCACTTTGCCTTCGCAAGCAATGAATATCTCGTGTATCTTTTATTAGATTAAATTCTTGCGGTATCAGGCACATTAGTTCTATTTTCAATTCATCATAAAATATTTGAATAACGATTTTAAACAGTGCGCGAGAGCGAGAGAAAAAAAAACCATTAGAAATAATTTACTCACCGTGTTTTTCTTTTGTCGATTTCTTCTTCTTCTTCTTCTTCTTCAAAGCAAAGAACACTGTATTTATTTTTACGCTTTTGGTAAATAAAGTACAGTATAAACACAGTTTCTATCAAATACACACACTTAAAATTTGTTTTATCTGAAAAAAAAATGTGTATCAGCAACAGTCTTAAAGCCCTTTAACGCGGTTCAATTCGTTGGTTTGCAATGCAGACGTGCAAAAAGTTTTGTGGTTTCGCGTTTTTTTATTATAATTCCGTTTTTTTCTTCTCTAAATTGTGGTCGTTGGCTTCTCTCGTTTCTAACAAATGAACGAAATACGTGCAACAAAATCCAAGAATAAGTCAATATAAACGGGAAAAATATGAATAAAAAAACAAGCTAGTTAGCGTTGCAAATGGAAACTGATATTTCCATCGAGGGAAAGAGAAAGAATGAACGGCAACAACAAAAAATGAAACAAATGTGAATGCGCATTAGCGCGACAATGCTGCGTCTGCAGAAAATCACAAAATCACTCAGTCGTTTATCGTTCGGTCGACTCTGTTTATTTTTTTGCTTCATATATACATAATTTTGGCCTTTCGCTTTGCTTAATTAATTTTATTGTCCCGCTACACAATTGATCCATTTTTTTTCGCCACTCAAAACTATGTTTAATAGCAGTAAGTGCGATCATGAAGATGTAGAAGAAACAGTGACAAAACAAAGTCCGAAATTAATTTCAGCGAGACGACACTTGAAAATGCCGAAAAAAAAATCTCTGGAAATATTCTGTGAGCATTCATAATAAGCGCGAGGAATGCAAAAGACAAATATTTAAATTTCAATCATACGAACGACGGAATGGAGAAAAAAACGACAACAAAACGGTTCACTGTCAGCAGAAAAACAACAAAACATACACACGAAAACCGTTATAGCTCTCTCTCTCTCTCGCACAACGTACATTTTTTACTTTTATCACTACGAAATCTAAACGATAAGGATTTCAGTGAATGGGTTTCAATCAAATGGATTCAACTCTCTCTATCTCTCTCTCTATCCCTCAATTTAGCATGTGAAGCAAAATGGAAAAAAAGCAATACTCCAAATAAAAACGCCTAATTTTTTTTCGGTTTGTTTGTCGTAGTTGGATATGGACTGTTATTCTTGTTCTGCGTTTGAATCGACGCAATTGGGCCAGAACCATTTGTTATGTGATGACACCTTGTGCAAAATTGGAATTTTATCTATCCGTTTGTTGTTTGTTTGTTTGGTGAGCGAGCAAATTAATTATTCGCAAAATTCGCGGCACATAGAAAACAGATAATATCCATCTTTGACTATACACACATCCACACCACAGAATTTATGAAAGAAAAATAATTAACAACGAGAAAGGAAAAAAAAATTACAACAAAAAATCTTCGCAAACGATCGTTAAATTAAAAAATTTTAATGGCTTTGAACGGCAGAGCAAGAAGAAAAATCAATAAAATTTAATTTAAATTTCTATTTAAAAATTCTGTTTCCAATTTATAAAATTCGATTAGAAATTTACGCATTCAAGAAAAAAATAAATAAATTAAACACATTGCGCGAAATTACATTTGTCGTTAGAATTGAGCTCTGAAAATCGTTTCGAGCAAATTGGCTGGAAGTTCGAGTTGTCGATCTGAATGGATCGAAGTTGTTATTCCTTCGATGTCACACAAAATACTGATTTTGTTTCAGAATCGACTTAACAATAGGTTAACACGGAGATTATTCATGAAATTTTCTGTTCAAACAGCGGCGCGCAACGACACATGTAAACAGCACAACAGCAACAATAACAATACTAAATGAAAGAAGAAAAAAATCGTACGAAAATGAAAAATAAATGAAAACGACGAGTAGTAATACTGTGAAAACACACCACACAGCGCCGTGTATGCGCCGGAGTAACAGAAAAAAAAGAGCACTGGGCACCGCGCGCGAATGAGAATGTATGTGCGAGCATTTCTTCATTTTCATGGTTTCGTATGTACGTTTGTGTGCCAGACCGATCGGCCGAACGGGCGGGAGAGAGACAGAACGAATGAGCGATAGAAAGAACTGTGAAACAAGCACAACGCCAATTGTGTTATCTATACTTTATATAGCGACAAAGCGAATATCGCAGCTCGCGCGCTCTCGTTTGTTGGATGATCCGTTTGATCGTCGGGGGATATTCGAAAATGCTTTCGAGCGAAACTATTGACCGTTACATTGATCACCACTTTCAATGAGCCCAGTTAGATCACTTTAGCTCGTTGCCCGCTAAATCGCTACTCAATTCATTTTCTAACGATCACTGAATCGTCCGGCATCTTCTCTGTAGCGAAAAGCCGATTTCCAATTTGCCTATCGGCCACACAAACATACACCGTGTGGCATTCTTCAGATGAATATCGGCGTATATAAATCCAAGCATTAGGAATGTTATAACTTTTCATTTCTCAATCATTCAGCAACCATAACGATGCAATGTGATATGGATTGATAAGAGACTTTTTTATTCTTGTTGTTTTTTTCTCTCTCTCTCTCTCTCTCTCTCTCTCTCTGTTGTGGCTGTGTCTCGGGCCGTATTTTTGACTAATCTTCAATTAGCTCCATAGTTATTGGTTGTGCAATTCATTCGAATGAACAATTATGCCAATCCAAAATGCCGTCGAACAAGAAACAAACAGAATTCAAATTAAAACGATCAAACGCAACGCTCAAAGCCAATCCGCCAAATTGTGTATGCATTTACATATACGAGAACTTGATTTATTAACGTGAACTACAAACACTTTAGCCAAATGAATTTATGTCTCAGTTTCGTCATCGTTTGAGATCAACTCGAAAAATTGAGAGCAGCTCATGGTTCAACTTATCAACCTTGATAAATCAATAAAAAAAAAACCGAAACTATTTTAACGATTCTGATAAAAATGCAACAAACGGAGCTGCTTGAATTTGACAAGTTAGAAAATCTACCGTTATCAATCATTCAGATGCTATAGAAAATTTAGGCAAACACAAAAAATACACCAAAACAGAAGAAGCTTAAGAGCGAGATCAAAATAAAGCTTTTATCAGCATTATGCTACACCAGCCAAGAGATGGCGCCACCATGTTACCATTCATGACTTTCTCTTTCAATGTAGTTGTTTGGCTTGGCATTTATGTTTTGACGTTTCGTTATGTGCTGTATAACTAAGTTGATTGAGTTGTATTATCTGATTGGAGTTGTTCTGCAATTGTACCTAATTCACATTCGTTTTTTTGCTACCATTCGATAAGAAACACTAAATTTTGATACTTTTTTGTACATTGCCATCGATTGACGGTATGAAACGCATGAATATCATGTGATAAATTGGTAAAATTGACTAGCAAACGAACAGCGGACGAAGATATACAAAGATAACACGAAGACTTTGTCTGCTGTCAAGATATCACATAGATAAAAATAATATTCACAACAAGTGAATCAGTGGTCAATATTCAAGTTTTTTTTTCTCATTGTCTCAATTTGTTTTTAGTGTTTTTTTTTTTCTAAGCGTAACAATTCCTCCTGCAAATTCACTGTGATTTTTGTATATTAATTGGCAACACAACAATTCTGCACCCAACACACGGCAACACACACACACACACACATACACAGCACCAATTGAATAATGGATGAACAAGAGAAATTGTTGGGCGATGCGATTGCCGTGATTCGCAGTCAAGCCTTCCAAATGCAACGATTTTTGGATAAAAATCGCCTGATGGATGCTTTGAAATGTGCCAGTAACATGCTCGGCGAGCTGCGAACATCGCTGCTTTCGCCGAAAAATTACTATGAACTATGTAAGTAGCCGATAAAAATATGCAGTGACGCCCCAATTCCCGATTGAATTGTTTGATAATTGTTGTTGCTTTTTCTGCATTTTATTAGACATGGCAATCACAGATGAACTACGCCATTTGGAGGCCTATTTGTTGGAGGAATTCGAAAAGGGCCGAAAGGTGCCTGATCTCTATGAACTGGTCCAATATGCCGGCAATATTGTGCCTCGTCTCTATCTACTCATTACGGTCGGTTTAGTTTACATCAAAACCAATCCGTCACTCAACAAAAGCATTCTGAAGGTACGATACAATTGACACAAAACTGCTTGATTCCAACTAAAATATCGATTTTTTTTTACCCATTTGCAGGATTTGGTTGAAATGTGCCGTGGTGTTCAGCATCCATTGCGTGGCCTATTTTTACGTAATTACCTATTGCAGTGCACACGAAATGTGTTGCCGGATGTCGTTGAGGCGACAGACGAACAAGAAGGCACCGTTTTCGATTCCATTGATTTTATACTGATGAATTTTGCTGAAATGAATAAATTGTGGGTGCGAATGCAGCATCAAGGCCATTCAAGTGAACGAACGCGTCGCGAAAAGGAACGTGAAGAATTGAAAATTTTAGTCGGCACCAATTTGGTGCGATTGTCACAATTAGAATCAGCCACATTAGATACGTATCAAAAATTAATACTGCCCGGAATTCTCGAACAAGTTGTCAGCTGTCGCGATGCCATTGCCCAAGAGTATTTGATGGAATGCATCATTCAAGTGATTCCCGATGAATTCCATTTGCAAACGCTTGATCCGTTTTTGAAGTCATGTGCACAACTCGAGTCCGGTGTCAATGTGAAAAATATCATCATTTCGCTCATCGATCGTCTGGCCGCGTATAATCAACGCGTGGAAAAGGTGAGCGTTTCGGATTGAATCCATGACGAATTTATTGGAATTGGTTCGGAACTCACAGAAGAAAAACATTGTTCATTGAATCGGTTTTAATTGAAAATCCAGAATGAAAAATTGAAAATTAAAAAAATATATTCGATCAATTCATTTTCAGAATCAAGTTGCAGCGGATGACAAGAGCCCAACAGCAATACCACAAGATGTACAGTTATTTGAAGCGTTCAGCGTGCAAATCGCAAATATTGTACAGGTAAATGACGTCAATTTGAATGAAAATCTATTGAATTTTCTGTTTTTTTCAATCTCCACATTTAATTTGTAATTCAACTCTTGATTTTTTCGAAATGTTTACGAAAATTTGGCATTTGAAACAATAAAAAAAAAATGTCGTTTTTGAGCAGATTCGTACCGATATGCCATTGGAAGATACAATATCATTGCAAGTGGCTCTCGTGAATTTGGCACAAAAAGTTTATCCAGATCGAGTTGATTACGTGGATAAGGTGTTGGAGACAACGATTCAAATTCTCGAACGTTTGAATATGGAGAAGTGAGTGTTGAAGAGTTTACAGAATTGAGCCTGAAGAAAAAAGATACGATTTTATGAAAATTCTGCTTTATTCTGTCAATTTTTGAAAATCCTATTCCTAACATTAAAATCGTTCTTTTTCAGCATTGCGCATACACTGACCGTGAACCAAGAGTTGTCTCGCTTGTTACGAATTTGCGTGGATTTCTACAACGATGCATTGACACTCATAAAATTGGAGCATTTCAGTCCATTATTGCAAAAATTCGATTACACCTCCAGAAAATCGTTAGCACTGTACATCGTGTTGAATATTCTGGACAATGAAACCTTAATTCCGACCGCCGAAGAGGTGGACAACATATTGGTTATGATTTCGCCATTAATCAAAGACGAGCCAGATCAACCGGCTGAAAAAATCGATCCAGAAGATTTTGCCGAAGAGCAGGGCATCACCGGTCGATTTGTTCATCTGTTGCGCAGTGATGAACCGGATCAACAGTATAAAATTCTTCAAATAGCCCGCAAGCATTTCGGTGAAGGCGGAACGTTGCGCATCAAACATGTGCTACCATCGTTGGTATTCCAAGCATTCCAGTTGGCATGTAAATACAAGAGTATTGCCGGAACTGATGAAATGTGGGATAAAAAATGCCAGAAAATTCTACAATTTTGCCATAACACCATAACGGCATTGGCCCGATCCGATTTGGCCGACCTTGCGCTACGACTATTCCTGCAGGGTGCACTTGTCGTTGGCCAACTTGGTTACACCAACCACGAAACGGTGGCTTATGATTTTATGACCCAAGCATTTTCACTGTACGAAGACGAAATTTCCGATTCAAAGTCACAATTGGCGGCCATCACCTTAATCATGGCCACATTCGAACAAATGTCCTGTTTCAGCGAAGAAAATGCCGAACCACAACGCACCAATTATGCACTGGCCGCTGCTAAATTGCTTAAGAAACCGGATCAATGTCGCGGTGTTGTGGTTTGTGCCAGTTTATTCTGGAGTGGAAAGTGAGTAGACCCTGAAAACATTTTTCAGTTTTTTTATTTTCTTACTAAAGAGATTCGTAAATTAAATCGTTTGCGGTTTCTTCTTTCAAATGAACAATAGGAAAAACGGCGAGGAAATGCGTGATGAGAAACGCACTCTGGAGTGTCTGAAGAAAGCGGCTCGCATTGCATCACAATGCATGGATACCGGCGTTCAAGTGCAAATTTGTGTGGAACTTCTCAATCATTATCTCTTCTATTTCGAACGGGGCAACTCATTGATCACAGTGGATCTATTGAATCAGGTACGAGTTTTTTTTTTCATCAACTATTTAAAATGTTGATCAAATCAAGCGTTTGACTTTACTGTTTTTCTCTGTTTTTATTTCTCTTCCAATAGTTAATCGCTAAAATAAACGAAGAGCTTCCAAATCTAGAGCAATGCGAAGAGTCGAAGCAGATCGAAGTGCATTATCAAAATACATTGGCGCATATTCGTAGTCGTATGAAATCCAGTGATTCGACCGGTCTGGAGGTGTCATTTGAAGGCATCACCTTGAGTAGTTAAATTTAAATTGAATACATGCTCGAATTGTGATTATTTTTAGCATCATCGCAGCTTTGCTCTGCCGGTATTTTATTACACACCCAATAGAAACAGTACCGAAATGTTATAAATCAATTGAAATAAAAATATTGTAATTAAATTTGATTTATTAATAAAAGAAGATTAAAATGAAAACCTGCAACAAACACGATACAATTCATATAAATAAAACGACGGTTCTAGTTTTTATTTTTATTTTGATACAGAATATTTAATCAATTTTATTTTGAATGAACAGAAATGGGAAAAAAATTGTCACGTTCAATGTGTTGTTATTATAAATTTGACTAATTTAAGCTGGTTTATCGATAAATCGTAATACATTTTGACAGAAAAGAAAATCAAAGAGTTTGTGTGTGTGTGTGTGTGTGTGTGTTTCTAAAACGAATTATTCTTTGTTTCTCTTTCGGGTGAACCTGAACTGATTTTGTTCACATCGATAATGACTAGAAATTGTTCTGTTTTGTTTATTTTTCTCACACTTTTGTTTGCCATAATTCCAAATTTGGAATTGAAAATCACAAAAATACAAATAAAAATGAAATAGGATGTTCAACCACTCAATGGACTCAGGAGGTGGGGGCGTCTTTGATGACACATGAATGATGATATACATTAAATGTTAATGCTAAATTGTTTCTCTTTTCATTTTTGTTTTGGTTGGTTTTGCTTAAATAACTAATTTTTTACCCTCATTTTCTATGATTTCAGCTCGTTCGTGTTGTGTGATATTTCTACGTCTCTTCATTTACATATCTATTCCGCATGTATGTGTTTGTATATAGTATTCTGCTTTGATTTCTTTGGTTTTGGCTAGTATGCAATTTGGTTGACGATACAACGAAATTACGTGGAGCTCCACGTGAACTCGCGTATTTCCTGTTCACACCGCAATGTGAAACGAGGTGGCGATCGGAGTTTATGCGAATTATCGGACATCGTTCCCAAACTGCATGTGTTAAATGTTTTGTTGTTGTTGATAAAATAATTCATAAATTTACGATTAATAATTAAGTATTTTTTGTTATCTTGATTTGTAAATTCCATTTGTGCATTCAGTTAATTTTATACACTGTTTTCAATCATCGAAGAAGAGGAAAAAATGCGCATGTGTGTATGTTTGTTTTTGTGAATGAAATATTAAATGGGTTGCTTGTTTTTTCTGTTCTCATTATTGACGAATGAAACGTGAAAACGAAATGTTCCTTTTTTTATACGATTCTCTTCTAAATTTCTTTTGAATTTTTTTCAAACTTTTTTTTTCAAGGGAATTAATGCATTATTACTTTGATTAAGATCAATTATCAAAATACGAATGTCTAAATAATGAAATTGCTTTTGATTTTTTCTGACTCAATGTATCCAATGAATACAATAAATCGAATCATATCTAAATTAAATACATCATTTTTGTCCTGGGCTTTATTTTTCTTTCTTGTTACCTTTGCGATTATACAATTATAATTTAAATTCTTAATTATTACATAGAAAATTCTTTGTTTCTTTTAATTATATACACACGCACAACAACAATAAAAAAAATTCATTTTGTTCAGAGTGTGTATGAATTAGATAAATAGATAAGACTGGGGTTGTTGGAGAAGGATTGAAGAAAAGAATTTGAAGTTAACATCGATAAATGTGTGCATATAAATGTAGCAATGGATTTTTGTTTTGTATCATAGTCCCCTTCAATAGTTTCATTTTAGAAAAAAAAAAGAAGTTATTCTGCGCGTTCAAATGATGCCCGTGGTCATATGCTTCGGTTGATTACCTCGTGTCATTTATCATATTTGTCAATGTACATGATAAATACCGCATACAGTGACATATGCCTGGTTACGTACATAAGCGGTCAATCGTAAATTATTTGTTTTTTTTTCTCAGTTTTTCGACCGTTTGTTCGTTGGAATTTCTATTGGCCGATCGAGTTAATTCATAGAAAAGAACGTTTGTAGGATCGAACATTCGTAACCAGTCTCTGAATGAAGATGACGAGGGAAACGAAGCTATTTACAGATTTGGTCAAATTTTATTCGTTTTATTCTTTTATTAGTGCGCTGTTTTCTTTCTATCTTTTATCTCACAATAAATGCTTTGTTTTCTATCCATTAAAAATCACATTACATTGTGGATTGAGATGTGATGGCCACAGATTAGAGGGAAAAGAAGATATACACATATTTGGTTTGACATTTAGACACAATGACAAATATGTGGTTAAAATTGTACAGCCCAGAATTGCCATAACAAATGCAATCAGATGCAGCGGAATCTGGGCGAGAGAGAGGGTTTATGTTGCTCATAACGCTTTTATTTAGACAAATAAGTAAATTTTCTTTTCGTAATATAATCATCAGTACATAATGGAGCGTCTCTCATCGGCTGAATTTAATTTTCTTTCTATTTTATTTCTATTGAAAATATGTTAAATTGAAAATTGCCCGTTTAATTTGTATGCTTTGATTTGATTTGCGATTTGTTAAATTGTTGTTATTGTTGTTGTTTGTGGGGGCGGGGAAGTTTTGTGGGAAAATGTGCATTAGTTTTCTAAGTTTATTTTATACACTGTGTATGTCATTTAATGTCAATGCGTTTTTTTTCTTTGTCTGATACATTTTTGTTTGTTATTTCACATTATGTGCAGCAACATTTTGTTTCGTAAAATAACTTTGTCAATTTAATTTTTGTTACCCGATTTTTCCGAACAGCTTGATAAGCTTAAAAAATTAGTTTCTTCACTTTCTCTTTCTCCCATTTTCTCTCTCTCTCTCTCTCTCTCTCTCTCTCTCTCTCTCTTTATCTTCCTCTCGCGATCTCTTTCTGTCCCACTTCTCTCTTTCTCTTACTTGTTATACATTTGCCTCTGTCATTTAATCTGCCAGTTTCGCAATTTTTTCACTATCCCGCTTTCCCAAATCAATGTTATATGCAGACACATGAGAAGAAATTCAAACGTACTCAACAGTTTTTGTTTTGATCAGCAAACAAAGATAAATTTCCGGTGATATACGCAAATAGAATCCAGAAATGTATTAGATAGTCAGAGAGATAGAGAGCAAAGCTGCCAAATTCCCTTTATGTCAACTTTGATGCAGATGATGTTACATACAGATTACCATCTTTATTACATACTACTCTGCAGTCATAAATGCAACGGTCTTTCCTTTTTTTGATTTGTGTCGAAATATTTTGGTTTCGTGAAAACATCATCTTTTTTTCTATATCTGTTGAAGACGAGCAAAGCTAAATTTATTCCATCAGTTGGCATACTCGAGGGAATGCGTGCAAGTATGAACAAACACATTTGTTGAAAGTACAGTGTACTTAGTACACAATGTGTGCAATGCAAATCAATTTTATTTTATGTTCTTTGGCTTCAGCTGCCAACCTCTGTATATCTGGAGGCATTCACTCTCATCGATTAGTACGGGAGAAACGGAACAAAGGCAGATGAAATGAAAAATTACGGACGAGAAAGCATATATGCACAAACAAGAGTAATCAGAACAGTGTATGATTGCAACAGAACAGAAAAGTGATGAAAAATTACAGAATTAGGTATATTTTTGTGCTTTTCCGATTGTTTTTTGTTGTAGTTTTTGTTATTGTTGATGATTTCATGTAAATCCAAAAGGTACATTCATTAGCGTTTCGATATTTTCTATTGCATTTCGAATTTGTTGTTCATTTCTGTTTCTTCCAATCAATCTTTTCTGTTGTGGAATACCTACAAAGTTGTCAAAGTGCTGCGGCTATCCGGTATGCGGTTCGATCGACTCTAAATGAACCAACGTTAAATGTTAATGTATTCATCTTTTGGTTTTTACATGATATTGCATTATTCATTGAAGTCAAAATGTTTTGCTTTGATTTTTTCTTCTTCTTCTTCTAATTTTTGTCTCGTTAGTTTTTTACTTACTCTATTTTGTAACATATAATAATCATATAATTTATCTCTAGTAAAATCTCAATAAATGTCAATGTACAAAATTCAATATATTTCTTGAGATTCCTATTGAATTGCTCCCATTTGCTTGCTATCTCGAATATTTATAATGTATTAATCAATAAACTACCATTAAATGCTATCGTAATCATATTATGTCTTACGTTTGGAAATAAAATCAAAGTACAAAAACGTAAAAACTAACCAAATGAGGGGAGCGGTGATTACCACCACTGGCAAACTGAAACAATTGATGAAACTAAATTTACGACAGAATAAAAAAAAAACTAACAAAATCCAAGTAATCCAAATGAAATGAACGCCACTATTTTCATTTTGGTTTTTGGGTTTCTATCTTTGTATTAAAAATTAACTCTGAATTATAAATCGTTTGTGTGTTTAATTCTTTACATTTGGTATATCGCTATCATATACATACGAATCTCTCTTGTGAATTGAGCGTATGCGTTTAACTAATGTGAATGTTAATAAATTAGACTGTTTTGTTCATTTTTGTTCAAATCGAATCCGAGCGGCGATTGCAAACGATTCCAAAACACGATATCATCTATTCGTGCTTCTTATGTGAATCAGTTGAATCAGTCACAGAATTCGTTTTGTATGATACATTGGCTTTAGTTTTTTTATGCTATGTTTTAAGTTTTAGTTTTTGTTAAATTTCTTTTTTTTTTTGTTTCGTTAAACTTATTTACTTAAATACTATATTCATTCTTATTTAATTGCTATTAAATTGGTTTGCAAAAAAAAAATGTTAAACCCATTGGATGGTGCTGCGTGAACCATTTCAGTGCCAGGGTTACTCGGAATCATCTATCATTTAACAAATTAATGCTATCGTTTCGTTTTAAAAGGGAACCGACTTGAATCAACATCGTGATCAAAGCATGATGCAAGGCCGAAGAGGATACTTCAAAGCGAGCAAATGTCCCAGTGATGTTCGATCGTTTTTGTTGTTGTTCGGAATAAAAATAGATTTGAATTCATTAGATTTCTTCCTCGTTTCAAACGTTTCGTTCTCTATCAACATTTGGCGAATGTATCGATCTCTCGATTACAATCAAATTCAGTTTTTTCACTTCAAGTCAAGGATTCAAGGAATTCCCTTTGCTTATTTCATATGATTCAATCGGAATTTAATAGTTGTTCTTGTTTCTTTCATATCTGCTAGTAACAAATCTATTTCATTTCGAGGGCATTTCATAATCTAGTTCATTTGCTCGACCACGAAAATATCTCCGGCCATCCAAATGAATGCTGCATAGAAACTCATAGACGCTCCACCGACTAATCACAGTATAAAATACACGAAATGGGAGTGCGAATGAAACATTGTGATAACTCCACAGAGAGTCTATGACACTTTGACAGGGTGCTCGTATGGACTCTGCTTTATAATGACGGCTAAGCCGTTCTTCTAAAACTTGCATCTTATACCCAATGAAAAACAATAATGAATCTATTCTATGAATCGAAATCACGCAGCAGCAGCAGCAGCGACGAACAAACTAATTATGCATTTCGTTAATAATTGAATATTCCAATGTACACAATACACATTTAAGATTTGTTAATACAATTAGTTTTTTTGTTTTTTTTTTTTAATTTAAAATGGACCCAAACAATTGAACAGCTCTATCTTAATATGTAATAAAAATGATTGAAAATTCAATAAATAGTGTGGTAAAAATACGAACGTTGACAACAGAAAAAGACAAAAGAAAAATCGAACAACAATGCTAAATTGTGTTAGGTTGTTTTGCCTCTTATTCCATCGCGCAATTTTATTTTACAATTGTCTATGCATAGGTAAATATGTGTGTGTGTGTAAATCATTAAAATTGCATGGTGAATATAAATTCGATTGTAGGTCGAGTATGTTGTGTTTTTTTTGTTTGAATTTGAAATGAAAACACATACTTATTTCATCATATATTGAATTTCGCGCATCGATCTCTTTTTCGTTCCGCGCTCTGTCTTAAACATGTTAGAATCGATGTGCGTACTATATTTGCCTACGGAAAAGCAAACGAAATCGATGGGAACAAAGGAAAAGAAGATAAAGAGACTGGCGATGGTTAAATAGAGCTCAACGAAATTGGAGAGATGTCAAAGTTCAACATTTTATATCAAAAGAAACCATGATAGAGAAGAGTGCGGTATAAGTAATTTCGGTGTTTTTTCCCCTTCATTTTCTTTTTATTTTGAAATTGAAATTCACATGATGCGAGATATGCGTGAATGATTTCAACCGAATATGATTGTGCGATCAGATATAGGAAACAAAGTGAAATATATCGCAAAGTCTCTATGATATTGAATCATTTTGCTACTTCTATTTTCTTTGTCATCGTGTTTCTCTCCTCAATTTAGATCTATCTACTAAATTGTATTAATATGAAACTAGCTAATGCTATATCGCAACTTGTGGGTGTGTGACAGAGAGCGAATTTTGGTGTATGAGAGAATAGAAGATGCTTTCAAGTAAATAGGAACGTGCATAAATTGCGGTTGGATAAACATCAAAGGGTGAGATTTACACTACCGTGCAAAAGTTTGGAACCACTAGGTATTTTTCACACAAATTGACCATTTTTGGTGGACTCATTAACATATTTCGGAAACCCCTGCACTCTTGATATTTTGTGTATAGTTTCTACAACGTTTCAATAGTAAATCACAGAGGTTTCATCAAAAAATATTCATGAATTTCAAAAATATAGCAATTTGAATTTCTACTGTGTGAAAAATGATCAAATTTGTATGAAGATTAAAACAGATCAAATTCAAATTGATATATTTTTTAAATACGTGAATATTTTTTGATGAAACCTCTGTGATTTACTGTTGAAACGTTGTAGAAACTATGCACAAAATATCAAGAGTGCAGGTGTTTCCGAAATATGTTAAGGAGTCCACCAAAAATGGTCAATTTGTATGAAAAATACCTAGTGGTTCCAAACTTTTGCACGGTAGTGTATGTTGAACGTTTTTTCTTGTATGTCGAACAAAAAGGATGCAATGTCTCTTCCTTATTCTTCTTTGTCTTCTTCTTCTTTTTCGTCTTATTTGTTTAACCTAGTTCCCGGGGAATCAAAATATATATACATACATAGATGTCAACAATTAAAGGTAAAATATCTTACATGTTCGTTTTACTTGTTCTTCTTATTTATGTTTAATTTGACGTGCGTCACAAGTGATTCCGTAGCTGCGCAACTAGCGATTTAATACAGCTGGCGCCATCTGGAATTTCTATGTACAGTGTACCGAACTACACAGAATGTGTATGATTTGTTGTTGTTAAGAATAAAAACAGGGCAAACTAAACGTCAAACGTGACCACAGAGTGTACCTGTTGCACAGCTACGAGTGATTCGAACTATGTGCTTGTGTGATTGTTTCGTTCGAACAACACTCTAACGCACTAAATCATATACGTTTATATCATTAAAGACATTTTTGATTGGGTATGCGTGTGTTAGCAAAAGAGAAACTCTTTTTCCGAGAAGAAGGTTTTCCCTTTGACCCGCAAGATTGTTACAAACATATGTTAACTTTTTTTTTAAACAAAATTCAAAGGTTCACGGCGGAAGAGCTTGTTCCTTTGAATGAATACACGCTCCGAACAAAAAAAAATTAACTAAGGAAATGAACGGTCACGTTGTTGAAAAAAATGAGAGGATAAACTAACCTTCGGAGAAGGACCTAAACAAATTACTTACTTTGCTAAGTGTTGTTTATTTTGGGACGTTTGAATGTGTGTGCATTTGAAATAAATGCATATGTACAAATTGTCAAATTGTTAATTGAAATTGAACGAACGAACGTTTTTTTTTAAACGAACCGAAATCATATTATATGTATCGACTGGCTGGAAATCGGGAGGCTCATGGAATACAATGGATGGGTGAATAAACAAAACGAACGATGACTGTTGACACAGAAGTCGTGATGATGTGCCGTAATGACAACATTAGTACTGATGATTCTGGCGACGATCTGTGCGCTGTTTGATGTGTCGTTTAAAGAACGTTTTGATTATAAAACGTGAAGATTTTCGCAACTTTTTGATTTTGAGTCACGTGCCCATACTCGACCCAATAAACCTTTCACTTTCAAACTGGCGGACGTACGCGTTCCCCGTATTTTGCGTGGACTGAATAAAGCATCGGAATGAACCAAAAAAAATCGTCAGTTTTTCTATTCATTTTATAAATCTCCTATGCTAGCAAATTGTTACCTATTTTGAGCGCTTGATGGTGGTGTTGGGCATTCGTTTATCTCATTGACTCCCATCGAATTTGGGGTGCTTGGATTGGTAGCATTATTACCTGACAAACAAGCTGTGCCCAGCGGTGAACATGATCTTCGTTTCGATTTGCGGCACGATCTCTTCCGAAATAAATCTCTGCAAGAAGTGAATAAAAGACTCGTGTTACCCATTGGCGGTATATTCATTGCGAAAGGTCAACATCAAATACACAAAAATACACAGTATTGGTTTGAATGTTGCACCTTAATATATGCTGGGCGTGAACATGCATATATCAATCAATGTGTGACGGTGGTGAATGTGAACATGTACTGAAATGGCGCACCATTACAGGTAAACGGAGCATTTATTGTACATTCACAAATTCATTTAGAGTATCACATATGAGGCTGTGAGAATGAAAATGGCAATACAGGAATAAACATTCTGAAATGCATCAAGAAAAAAATTTCGCAAAAATGAATCATGAGTTCTGAATAAGCACAAGTGAAACATGAATTTGCATGGGCAGCATAGGAGGTTCAGGGTTCACTTTTGCGTATTCAGAACTCATGATTCATTTTTGCGAAAAATTTTTCCTTGATGCGCTTCAGAATATTCATTCCTGTATTGCCATTTTCATTCTCACAGCCTCATATGAACGAAAAAAGTTTTCCCTGAAACAATCGCACTCAAAATCATACGCTCCACACCGCATATTACCAATTATAGTTCAAGTGAACGATGGCTGTTTGCCTTGTCGATGCGGTACAATTGTGTGTATATGTGACACTCTATGTCGATGCTATGCCATGCTCATACAAATAATACGACACAAACCTGGATTTTTCCGGATTCTCCAATTTCAGCCGTATTTGCGTTAGCAATCCAACCAATAACTCATCTACGTTATGATTTATGCCAACTGATGTCTCGATAAATTTGCAGTCATATGCTGTTGCCATTGCTTTTCCCTCTGTGGATTAAAAATGGGTTCACCATATGAAATTCGATTAGTATTCACCACGCGCGTAAATATGCATATATTTTTTATGTGGTTTTGGTACGTTTCGTTTGCATTATGTGGTATTTTACATTATTCCGTCTTCCGTCTTCTTCCATGTCGTTGCTGTTGTTTTTCGTTTCGTCTTTTCCCACTCTTTTTCCACTTCTTGTTCGTATTTATGCAAATTTCAGCATTTTTTCGCACTTGCTCGAAACATTGTAATGCCATGAAACCACTCATCCCTCGCTTATTGCTGGTGTCGTTGTTAAAGGTATATCGCACGAAACGGCAATCGCAGGAATTGTGGACGCAATAAAAGTCGAGCTAAAAAAAACTCAAATTGTCACAAATCTAAACGTACACATTAACGAAGTAACAACAGTGGAAATGAGATGTGTCGTATACAATCGCTGTTGAGTAGTTTATGAAAATAGTGTTGAGGCGTTTTATTGCGGCAGCCAACGAACGAACGAGCCAGAGTGAGGACAACAACGAACCGTAAAGCGAACGAACAAAACGAATGAACATTTACCAGGTGGCCGGTCATTGCCCGCCACCATCGTCATCATCATCATCATCATCATCATCATCATCATCACACACATACACTTACCTTCAGACGTAACAGTGCGGCTACGTGCTAGGTCGGCTTTGTTACCCACTAATATCACAGCCTTTTGTGCTATATTCTCCGATGTCCACAGCGATTGCAGTATACGTTCAGCCAGTATGAAACTATCACGATCAGCTGATGAATAAATAACACAGTATCCATGTGGTTCGTAGCTTGTAAGGCAATTTTCCGGCTGTAAATTTTCGTCGTCCAGAGAAAAGTGCGCGCGTAGCCCGAAACACAAGACGTGATGGGACGAGAGAGATGAAGCGACCGGGGATTAGGAAAGAAAGTGAAAGAGAACGAGAATAAAAATAAGCACAAAACGCAAAGGCGTGGAAAAATTATTTTGATTATAAAACATGTGTTACCATAATGATTATTATGGTGTGAAGCCACTTTTATGGTATAAATTCCTTGTAAGTGGTTGAGGGTGTGAATGTGAATGGAGGAGTGAGCATGGAATGGGAAAGGTAACAACCACTTGAGTTGCAAGTGCACGCGAAATTTAATTTATGTTTACACTTGTTTTTTCCACAGCGAAAACCAAAAATGAAATTAAGATGTGTTTGTTATTGCCGGGCACATGAAAACATGTATTCAGCCAGTCATAACGTGAAAGTCACTAATTTTTCGGAAATTGAATTTGAAAAAGATTATTATGTGGCTTCAGTCAGTAAAATAACTGTATAATATACACACAGGCAGTGTGTATTTCGAAAAAAAAATTGGCAATCATTCTAAGGAAAGCACGCCTCAATGACAGCAATTTGCTTGATTTTGTTTCAATCCTTTTTTGTGGGAGGAGGTAATGTATGGTTAAACTTATTCACACTTACCGACATTTCAGCCGTCGAATGATCAATGAATGTTAGTTCGGATTCTTCACCATTTAACAACACCGACACCGACTTTTCTCCTGATTCATCGTCTGGAAAATTGCAATTGAAAGGAGTGCAAAACAAAACATTAGCCATTCGTTTATCGGTAAAAGTTTCATTCCATTCAACCAAAAGCTCGAAAAAAAGAAAAAGAAAAAACATTCTGTGTTGCTAACAGAACACAAAATTATCTGCTTTTTGTTTGATGAAGTGGAGTGATTCCCACTGTGTGCTTGCATGGTGTGTTTGTGTGGATTTGATTTTTTTTTGGACAAAAGCTTTTTGTGAAGTAGTCTAATTGACTGTAAATGTAATTTTTGTGCGAAAAGCAAAACAAAAAATGAAACAAGTGGAGTTGTAAGTGTGTGTGTGTTTAAAACCACGATGGCGGTGGTGAGAGTGGTATTTGAGTTACACGGTAAAACACCGTAATAATTTTTCAGTGATACTTCAACTGGGATTGCGTTTAATTACTTTCGCTATTTTGGAATGGTGCGCGCGGTGTTATTGTAAATGATAACATTTTATTTTGGTTTCTGGTTCGGCTAACCCAACTCTACTCTCATTCATTCTCACGGGAATTGGTGGTCGCGCACTGCGCTCTTGTTTCGAGATGTTCTAATTTGTTACTTTATGACTGGGTTGGTACGGCACGCTTGTCTACAGATTTGCGAATTGTATCGAAAGCTAAATATGGAACATGAATTACAGGGCCAATTGCATTTTTACTACGAACATTTTTTCATAGCATATTGCACTCGTGCCGAACATCCCGAACACCATCATCATTGCACATGATGACCGTTGCAATTCTGTTCTTCTTCTTCCCTCTTTTCTTTGCCAAAATGAATCCAAACAGATAATCATACACTTTGTTGCGTGGTCGTGTTGTTTTTCCTACCGATTTTCTGCAGACGAATTGAAGTGCAGAAAGGAAAGTAGTTCGTTGAAAAGGCGCTTAGCGAACACCGATGAAAATGGGATGAAGCAAACACACACACACACACACACACACACACACACACACACACACACACACACACAGAGAGAGAGAGAGAGAGAGAGAGAGAGAGAGAGAGAGAGAGAGAGA